CGAGAGGACAAAATGGAATATCTATATCGGTTGGCAGATTTCTTCCTGGAATTTGATGAAAACAAGTCGGCACATTTTTACAGTATGCAAATTAGAATAACACTGTGGATAGGTTGGCCGAAACATTTTTGCTGAAAATGTTTCCCCCCCCCCAAAAAAAAACACTTGGTTGAATTCTCAGAGAGGCGATATTTTCTTGTCAAAGGGCAGGGGTAGTCTAGCATTATTGGAATTAATTATGTGACTAGTACATGCTTTGCAGTTGGGTTTTGTACTTGCCTTATTCGGAAAAGATCTTTAGAAGTGAATGGAATCATCACATTGTCATTTGTTAAACCCCGGCTTTTGCAGGTCCTATGTAACCCATTTGATGGACGACGCACGACGGACGACGGGCGACGCACGACGGATGACGCACGACGGACGACGCACGACGGGCGACGCACGACGGAAAGTGGCATGTTTGGAACTGGTAAATGGCAGAATTGGGACACATCAAAAAGCAAAATGCGACGGACGACGGGCGACGGGCGACGGCAGATATGGAATTCCATAAGTGAGGCCCGGGTTGGAGTCCCGGCTTGGCCCAGGCTTTAAGTGAATTTGGTTTCCAGTCCATATTCGCTCTCGCAGGTTTTCTCTCGGTACTCCGGTTTCCTCCTGCCTCTAAAACTGGACCTTCTTCCCAACTACGTAATGTGATGCTGATTAATAAAGTGTATGTATAAACGTACAGTTATTGGCGTAAATAGTCTGAGTTGCTGAAAGCGCCATTAAAATAAAAGCAACAACCGGGCTCCCCAGCAGCGTATGTTAAGGTATTATGCATACAATTTCAACTTTCCTCATCTTACGGAGTCAAGTTGGCGTAGTGGTTCTTTCCTCACTTTTCATCTCCTTGGCCTGGTTTCGATTCCAGGCTTGGTCCACATATGAATCTTGTTTTCCGTCCCTGCCTGATTTCAAGGCATTTTACCCAGAACAATCTCCTGGAGTTTTACTCCTAATTCTGAGACTGTAAGTGCTCCTGTATTTTCTACTCTGGGCCGTTTGGCCGCTGCCTGAGGCGCCCTTGTTTGACGTCGACTCCCGTTGTAAATCTGAAGGGCTTCCATGGAAAGCAGTGCTGTGCACGGATAGAACTTTACCCTTACAAATTTGTGGACACCAGCTTTTGACATTAGAACGAAACTAAAGGGTCTCATACGGAATACTTACAGACTGGACATACCATATGGTCCCACTAGACCCCTTTGTTTTACTTCTCTTATGTTGTTCGCGGCCAAATCTCTGTGAATAACATAAAAAAGATAAACGATCTTCAAATATTGGTACAATGTTTTGCAGTCAGTCTTGCACACAAATTACAGAAATATTTTGCATATGTCGGTCTTAGAAATTATCAATTAGCTTTTTAAAGGGTCCATGGAGACCTCCTTTGACAAACTGTCGATTAATTGTTGAAAATATTCACTGCTATGCCACTAACACCATAGGGGATGTGAAAATGAAATACAGTTCCCTCATAGATTAGCCCCGTCTGCGCATATCCGCATCGAAACCGAGACTCTCTGTGTTGAACTTGATCGCGCGCCCGCGGAGTCCACACAGTACATGCAGTATCCGGTTCGTAAGAGTGATACCACTTCAGTTTAAACCACGCCCACTGCACAAGATACACGGGCATCGCATGTACGTTAGTTTGCAGTAAATTGTCATTGTTTTTTTCTTCTGATTTCACGCGTCGAGTCATTCTGAAAGGCTCTTCAACAAAAATCTGCAGCCTGAAAAGTCTGAATTTAACATACCTGTATATATTTTGTGTCTTAACTCCTTACTTTCAATCGTTTGATCGTATTAAGAATTGAGGCTGACACATACAGCCTTGTTTTCAAACGCGGAAGTGCGCAGATCGACACTAAAAGCGTCGTATTGGGATCCCTCTATTGTGGTTAATTTTACAAACCCCTCAAATTAATTTGTTAATTCCTGACAAATTGTGGCGTTATGAGTGACGTATTATTTGAGAACCCAAATTATTGTCAGGCACCCTTTCGGTTCGTCTAGACCCGAGAGGCACGTGGACCATAGAGGAAGGTCACAGAAGGAGTTTGAACTTCCCGGGCGGTAACATCTGACCAATTACCGCTTTCTGGCATGCCTGATATGTCCATAGCCAGAGCGCAGCGAACGCTTGCCACGCACCATCTCTTTCACAACCATAAAAACCCCTCTGTACCCTGTGATCGCCACCGCAATTTGTCGATGGAAATCTGCATTCTTAAAGCTTCGTCTACTGAGGTATTGGAATTTGAATATTCATGCCTTTGTTGGTACTTGGTAGGATCTCGTGACAACATCAAATGTAGTGCTTGCGCAGTTGCTTGCATTACGCAGTGTGCATTAATCTATACGTGTAGTCATTTCCCCTAACGAACTCTTTCTTCTGGAGTTATTTTAGGAAAAAATAGCCCAGTTGTTTACAAGATTGTGTTTTGTTCGAATCATTTTTATTATGGCGTTTGTACAAAAGCGTGAGGTTTTATGAGATTTCGCGATGTCATGTGATGATATAGTGCATTTTGTTCCTGATAAACTTAACTATCCAGTAGTAGTGAACATTTTGTTGGCCAGTCTTAGCCAAATTCCTACTAAATCTTTTGAACACTGATGTATTGGACGGAGGAAAATAAAATTACAAACTTTGCATGGATAATGGAACAGTGTATCAATTTAAAAAAATAATAAAAAGTTTATTTACGATGGCAAAAGTAGGTCTAATGTCAGGGAATTTTTCTCTCTCTGTTTCCTGGACACATCGATAATTGTATTTAATTGCCAGCAAAAACTACAAGTATTGGTAGGATATTACTGGCCCCGCTTGTCCAGCTAAGATGCGGCCAGTGATCAGGCATTTTTGGAATGTTTTCTATTATTTGTCTGACTCGGCGGCGACCATCATTGAACACTTTGAAGTGCCAGAGTTGCAACTCCTTCTATGTCTCTCCTCTGTGCTTGGACATTGGTCACGCACAATTTACTTACGGTGCGTGCGGAATGTTCGAACGGAAAATACCTACACGAACTTGCACATATACATGTACATGTATACGGTGCCCACGCACACAGCATGTGCATATGCAATATGGCCCAAGTACGAAACATTGCATAACGGCCGATTGGGAAACGTCCCCTTTGTCGTTCGCGTTTCATGAAAACTCCTCTTAGTCTTTGTTCACGGGCGTTTTTTGAACAACAAATCTGATCGGCGTGATCTCTGAAGCACCCCAAAATGGACTGTATTTTCGGAACTCGACCCTACACGTGCATTGACGTGCTAGCGGCGCGCGACGGTGTCTTCCGAAAATGTACGTCAGTATGCAATTTTTTCTATGCCAATAATGTACCTCTCGGGGGCGGGGCCATTTCGCAAAAAACAGTACTTTTTTGCTCTTTATTAATTAATCAAAACAACTTTTACATTTTCAATAGAGTTTAAAAAGTACAATTAAAACCAATTTTCACGCACCTAGACGTCCGTACCAAGACAAAAATGGGTCCTTTAAATTCTATGTTCCCGCCAATTCCAAGTGGCTTCGACACATTCACATCACAACCCGGTCAAAGAATACAGGAGTGAAGAAAATACTCACAACTTTATTAATTTTTGACATCTTTTGAAGGTGTCTGTTTCTATCACTTGCAGGTTATTATCTCTGAAAACTCTGGGTAAAAAAAAAACAAACTCATATTAAATTCAATGATACTTAAACACATAAATAAAGACGTCTCTTCCACGAGAAATGTAATTCCTTTCATTGAATTTTGAAACTTGTTTTCAATTTTTGAATCCCAGTATTAGTTTATTTGATAAGAAATTAATCTCAGTGAAATATACCGTAAATCGGGGAAACTTTGGCACCCTGGGGTAACTTGGGCATAAGTCACACCCCTCGGTTGTAGTTGTTATAATTACCTTCGCAACGCGCTATATGAATAATATAAGATTCTCTCAAGTGATTCTATGAAAGTAAATTGATCATAAAATAGACCTGGAAGATTGGCTTGAAGGATTTTTCATGTGTCAAACTCTGTTATAATCTTTTTATTTTAATTGTTAAATTCCTGCAAAAGTTGTGCCAAATCACGTGGTAACTTTGACAGCCAAATTAAATTCCAAAAACAGGTATGTAATAGATATGTATTAGGTCCTAATTGCTATAAATCATAAAATATAAACCTTGAAGAGATCAATTCAAGTAAACTTGGGGCATTTAGCGAGGATAAAGGTGTAAATTTGGCTGAATAGTTGGACATAGAATCAGACTTTATTCGAGCGCTTTAGAGTGTACTGTATTTACGTATAGGGTGGAAACTAAAATTAAGGTTTGTTGGATTGTTATTCATTACTTACTTTGGTTTATTGCAGAAAACCACACTATTGCACAACCATAGAACCGCACAACCGCTATATTGCTAGACAGTATTACACCTCATTGCAGCGGTTATACTAGCATCAAGTGGAAGTGGAGAAATAAACAGAGCGGTTCAGATAAAGAGTTTGGACAGTTATTTCCCCATGTAGTATGCTGAAGACATTCCATGTATTTGCAACGTTTTCGTTGTCATTTTTGTTCTTGAAGCATTCTGACTTACACTGCCTGTAGGTTGACGCCATTTTTCACTAGTGGCTTAATGTCTCGCAAGTCGTTTTCTCCCGCAAATCTGAAAACGATGGAGATAATCCCGGTTAGGCCTATGCATAGGCCTATGCTACTTTCAATTACAATCACATTCAAAGAAGCTCCATGTTAAGTTCGTGTGGGAAACTGTCGGGCTGTGAAGTGGAATCATAAATACGCGGGATAATATACGGCCGACTTGTTACTTGGTTGTTTTGTACTTTACATTGCAACAGAAAATGAGAGAAGACAATGCAGTAGGCGGTTCCAGAGGTTGGGAGATATATTTCTTTCTCCCTTGTCTTTTTGCTTTTTCAAACCATATTAAATTAGTCACATGACCAAAGTTACACTCAAATACTTTCTCCCCTACACACGCTTTTGGTACAGATACTGGGCGCGTCCCTTTTCGTAAAATACTGGATCTTTCACCTGATAAAAAATCCCTCCTAGTATTACGTGAAGGTTGCTATCTCTCAAACAGACTAAGTGTTAACTTTACCACCCCAGGGGACGTGTTTGTCGTTATACATTTTTCTGTACTTACAGGATAATAACAGTTTCAGGTATTTCGAATGGCGCTGAAATGCGATTCTTTGTGACGTTCCTGTGAAAAGAAGAGGAACTCTTTCGTTCAGTTTTATGTGGCCACCACTTATAAACGCCATGGGTTTAAAAGTCCTTCAAAGAGAGAAGATATCAGCCAAAGCTGAATTTTAAAGATGTATTTGCCGTCGGGGCGTTGTTCATTTTAATAACGGGTTTTGCCCTTACCCAAGGTACATATTTATAAACACTCGACCACCGAGCTTGCGGGGTCGGCTGGTCGGTACCCGCTGCTGTATCTGACCAGGCAAGCTCGTTAGTCGTGTGTTCAAGATGTCTGCACCAGTCAGCAGGAGATCGTGGGTTCGAGTCCCACCCTAGTAAACTTGTGGATTCTTTTCGCAAGCTCTCGGACAAGCACTAATTATGCAGTGTTCATAAATACATATACGTCTGGTAAGGGCAAACCGTTATTAAAACAAAGCTGTACTGGCATAATATATTCTATGTCCAGTCCTTAGTTACGTTACTTTTCGACCGAAATCCTGTGTTAGATACATGGTAATCGTTTCGGTGGAAACATTGTGATTTAGTTCCACAAATTGGAAAGAATATCTCCATATGTTCCCACTTGTTAATCCTCTTTCCCTTTTCTTATAGCCACTCTTTCTGGTCTGTTTGCGAGTATATAAACTGTTTACAGAATTGCTCTGAAAATCACAGATGAAACCAATAACATCGGAGCGTTTCTTGCATTCAACTCAATATCATTACTCCATGAACATTCGTGTGAAACAGGTTCCTGCAAAATTATCTGTAAATTATCTGAAAATATCTGTGTGAGTATATACTGGACTCATTACAATACTTACAGCATTATCAGTGATTCAAGTTGTAACAAGGCATCGTACGGTATCCTGGTCAATTCGTTTCCACCCAAGTTGCTGCAAATCCAAATAAATCAAAATATCGAAATGGCAAGGGACATTATTATATTATGATATAACGCCCAGCATTTAAAACAGATTTTTTCCTCATTAATTATCGAGTTCACCTTAAATGTATGTATTTGCTTGTACTTGTCTGTACAGTTCCGAAGAAACGCACTATAATGATTAATATACTTTTACAGATCGTCTATTTTCCCCAGTCAGATTTAAAATTTAAACGAATAAAAAGTTTGCAGATAAATTTTAACAACCTGCAGGAACCCTTACGATAGAACGACAGTCTCACACGACGTAGCCTTTCGTCAAGGCCTTCGCAGCTGTGTCTATGTGTTACTGCAAAAGCGGATGGACTGGAGACCATATGCACAAGTGGCATAGCCACTTCTCCAACTTATCAGGAATTTCTAATGTTTTTCTTTATGTTTTCGATGTTTGTTACCCCGTTGGGGTAGCAAAAATCCCAACCAATCATAAGCGAGGGGGTCAGCAAACATTAACCTATTATGCAAACTGAAAGTATACGAAAGATGACGAGCGAGCATGTCCGGCGGCAGTGAGTGCAGGTCAGTTGTCTGAGCAGTATCTGGACAGTTCTTTAGAATAATGCTGCTGGAAAACTTCATCTTGCCGAGTTTAAACCGTTGCAGCGTCAGGCTACTGAAGCATCTTTTTGCGGGTGCGACGTTTTCGTCTCTACCCACGGGACAGTATTAACACCTCCATGTTTCACGCACGGCCGTTTTGCTTTGATCATTCGGCCTTGATGAACTGCTACTTGTTAGTGCTACTCCATGGAGGTAGGGAAAGGTGTCATGTCACTGCTTATTGCCCTCATGAAAAACCAGATGGAATCATTGCGTAAGCTTTGGAGTTGATGCTGTTTATTTCGGAGACTTATCTGCTTCAACTATTTAAATGAAATTTATGATTAATGCATATCAGAAGTGTATGAATAATTCACCACGAAAACCTCAAAATCAAGTTGGAAAAGGCCTCGTACCTGCGCCACTCGCCCTGTCTCCTTCCAGTCGCTTTGCAGTTTACACGCACAGCCACGAACTCCTTGACGAAAGGCTATAGATGAGCCGATAGGGTAGTCTTTCATTCAAAGGGGTACCGTTACGCCATTTCCTGTAAAACCCTGGGCTGGGACGTGCGGTGATTTATTAAGGAAATCTTTTAAACATAAAACCTTTAAAGGGTGTTGATATGAAATTTTACTCGGGCAACTTTCTAGTTCCGTATAGTTAGAGAAATGGTCTCTGGTCTCTAGTCCTCTGAATCTGAGAACACATTCCCCGTTTGGGTGATGTCACTGCAAAGTGCCCTTGTTTTAACATTTCCACCTACTCTGTTTCCGGCAACAATGGTAGTTTAAGAAGGCACTGTTTACATTGGGAGGTTCTGTTCTAATCAGGCAACCAATCACCCTCCCGAAGACGAACAGAGCATAATGTTCAGAACGTCGAGTGTTTACCATCGGGGATGTAACACTGACGTTTCTGCCTTAGATGACATTACACTTCGGCAACAAAAATGCACATTTTGGCTTCAGTATGAGAAACCCTGTATCAACGCTACTTTTAAAATGTCCCCATAAACATTAAAATTCTAGTTAATGGGGACATAAAGGACCATCTGAAAGAAATGTGATTAAATACATTTACACTGCTGGGCCCTTTAAGACACTGCCTCCACTGATCAAATTCAAAGTGAATCAAATTCCAAAATGCTACAACTTCCTGGTTCACGTTTGCAATGTACACGGGCCATCCTGCGCTGTCAACCCAGTTGTAAATAACAGGGTTTGTCCACATCACAGGAAATGTGATAGTGGTGAAAGATCACTTACGCGGAAATTCACGAAACATCTTCATTTCTGTTTCATTTTGCAGGAAGTAAATGTATTGTCTACAGTGCTGGCAAATATGCTTACCAATTAACTCTGGTGTAATACACGGTGACCTGGGGGTTTTAGCGTGTTCACAATTTCCTCATAGCCTCATATTTCCTCATTTCCTCAATTCACGAAACATCTTCATTTCTGTTTCATTACGCAGGAAGTAAATGTATTGTCTACAGCGCTGGCAAATATGCTTACCAATTACCTCTGGTGTAATACACTGTGACCTGGGGGTTTTAGCGTGTTCACAATTTCCTCATAGCCCTAATATACTGATACAGTACTGATGCCGTTTAATGTTAATGCTGCTTCAGACAGACAGACAGACAGACAGACAGACAGACAGACAGACCGACCCAAATCAACCCAGGGTATGCCCACACAGTTACAAACTGGTTTCCAGTTGGGCCCTGCGCTCATTACAAATTAACAAAATAGTTAGAAACTCACGACGAAAAGTAACATTTAAAAATACGACAAACATTAATATTTATAGACACAGACCACTAAAATATCGTCCACATGTGGACATTTAAAGAATCAAGGCATTAATTTAATACTGATCACGGGATGGGCGAAAACCCTGCAAAACCCCATGGGCAAAAAAAAACAGGGGAAATTCCCAATCCGGCACAATGAACATTAGCAACCAAGTTAACAACTCAATAGATCAGCATTTTGGACTACATGGCACTGGTCATGGCTTTCGATATAGTTCTCATTTGAATGTCCTTAAGGAGTCTATATGTCTGAGTTGCTCTGGAAAATTGTTCCATATTTTTGCACTTTTCACCACAAAGCTTTGAGCGCAGCATTCTTTTTTGGCTAAAGGGACTTGTTAACTGAGTATCTTGTTTCACGAATCTGCGTGAATGGCAAGAGATTTGTCATATACATAAGGAGTCCATTCGTTTAGACATTTAAAAACAAGAACAGTCGTTTCAGATCTAACTCTCTCGGAAAATGGTACCCAGCTCAGTGTAGAAAACATATTTGCTGAGGGGGTGAGAGAGATGCATTTGAGGATTATCAGTGCAGCTCTTTTTAGACATTTGTTAAGAATGGTATCGTGGGATATGTATCTTCCTCGCCACACCGTGCTAAAGTTGGCATAACTAAGCTAATGAAAAAGTGTGTGCGGGCTACTTTGTCCGACATAGTTTCGGATTCTGCTTAAACATACATAATTTAGATGAGATTGTTTTCTTTCGTAACACTATGGGCCCCATGTGGGCCCCAATAGTGTTTCGTCAAAACAACTCCCAAGCATTTGCAAGATTTTTTCTTTGACAATTAGGCTATCAGCAATGTAGAGGCTCAATTCTGTATTGGCAGTTTTCTGCCTTGAGCCAATTAGCATGCAGATAGTATTGCTCGTATTTAGTTGACGCTGTCATGGCTCTATTTATAACAGTGAATTAACTGGCCATTGGGGTTCATTCTGCTCCTTTATCAATTTGATGCGTTTTTGCTTTGGTTTTGTTAAAGGGTTAACTACCTCTAACGAGACAGTTTTGTTTTTCAACTCTATCTGCCAATCTGTCCGACTGTGTCTGGAGGACTGTTAATGAAAATTTTTGGGTCATTAAGGATCACGACTAACATCGGCCGAACGATTAATGGTTTGGACAATCTAGTCGACCATTTGGGACCAGGCCTAAGGGTCTGGGCAAACCACTGGTTATCAATAGTTGATTTCATTTATCATTTTAATGATTCAACAAGTACTTATAATCTTACAGTACTAAATGAAAAAAAAATGGCCATCTTAACAGAAACTGGGACAGATATATATTTTGTAAAAGGTAAAGGTTGAAGCAAAACCAAGCATGAGATGTCTGCAAAACTTTGACCGCCCACACAAATGATTAGCTATAACGATAAAGGTGGTCTGTACGAGTAGGTATTGCGCAAAAAATACGTTGGTTGGATGAATGATTGGCAGGGAAACATACGCTCAGGTCATTTTCTGGTCGTTTGCTGACTTGAGCCTACAAAGTTTTACACGCGTGCACTGAGTTCGCACAACAGTCGACTGACCGAATCGCGACAGAGCACCGCTGTCATCAATGATGACAAGATTAGTTTGCGAGATGCGCATTCGGAGTAAGGTGACAAGAATATATTAATTGATCACAACTGTACACATTCATAAGTTTGACTTGTTGACAAGAAATGCTGTTCCTGAGCGTCTGTAAGAACGAGAAGTCATTGATCTGAAAGACAATTTTTCACCTCATCAATATAAATACTCAGTTTAGCTTTTCTCTATGTTCATTCAAGAAATGCTGCTCCTGAGCGTCTGTAAGAACGAGAAGTCATTAATCTGAAAGACAATTTTTCACCTCATCAATATAAATATTCAGTTTAGCTTTTCTCTATGTTCATTGTTTAAGCCCTTTACGTTCAGTGCTAGAGAGCACCTGTGAAAAAAAAAAATCATACACTTGTTCATGGAGGGCAGGAACCTTACAATGGAGCTCGGAGGTAGTCGTGGTAGCGGGTTCTAATCGATACAGGAATGGGTACTGGCAATTGGTCAATATCTCATAATAGTTTTGCCTTTCATTTACAGGAGTTTGTCATAATGACACATCGAATATCTTGTTCCACACTACGATACTTCTCATACTTACAGCACTTGCGTGTCGTTCGGTAACCCTGCCGGTAGTTCCGTGAGACCCTTCTGCGTGCAATCGACCACTTTCGGCCCTTCGTTGCTGCATTTACATAACCTGCAGGCTTCCTCACTTGCCGGTACCGCCATGGCAAGGGACGACTTCACCGCGACGCAGAGCGCCAATCTTACGATATAACCTGTGGCCTTTGTCCCCCACATGTTGGGGATATCTTTAATTCGAGAAGAATAGTTACTGTGGCCTATAGTCCCGATTGGTTCCAAGCTTTCAACGCCAAAATAAAGGGCCAGAGTTGGTTTGCTCTACACAAGCTCTCTCATAGACTGCTACATGAGCGGAAACTCCTCTGTGTACATATTTCCCAGACCATTGTGCACATTAAGTTCGATACCCATGTCATGACCTCACCGTTTGACTATACTATTTAAATGCGCTATTGCAAAATACACATTGCGGAAGCATAAACTGGTTGAGGGTTTGCCGCACCATAAGAAAACATTGTCCTACAAGGAAACAACGAGAGACTACTTCTAACCATCTGAGCATTCTTCAGTTCTTTGATGAATAAGCATGTCCGATGTTTGTGTGATAGTTTTTTCCCACGCTGTTCCACGCAATACACGCTGTTTTCTTGGGAGCGCTCACGGGATAAAATGTGAGTCGTGACCGCGACGAAAGAGAATATTGGTTTTAGTAAACCTGGGTAATAGCATTACCTGGACATTTGTACAATCAGAAATGGCTTGCTAAGGAAAGGCCTTTCCTTGCGAGGACATGGGCGGTAATATCATCCATTAGAATACATCTCCCTGCTGGTGAGTCCTTATTCTGGTTGGCTGAATCACATTCATGTGCAGTTCACTAATATAGAGATTTACGTCAGCGTGAACTAGACACGTGTCAAAACATTGCACGTAATTTCCATAGATCGTAAATTTTGAACAGTTACAGCTCCCTTGGTATAAATTTCTGAACAAGTTCTTTCTTTTTTATATTTTAGATAGTAGTGTATTATATGAATAAATTATGTTGCAGAGACAATAGTAAAAAAAGCTCTTTCTTCAACAAAAAAATCAGAAAAAATGATGATGTCTTCTCATATGTTCAAGACACACACACAGCAACCTAATGTTCATTAAAGGTCTCCTCAACCATTTTTTTCAATAGCAGAGAAGTGGACGGTACATAAATCGTGATTTTTTCAGTCTTGCAATGGAGATGTAGGTTTGGCTTTTTGGCATAGATTTCCTAGCCGCTGTTTTATTTCCTTTATATTCATTACGCTTATACCGGAATTTCGGCAGTTTGCCAAAAGGGGCATGTCTGCCCAAATCAAGAGCACAGGGCATGTTGGCCCCGAAATACTGGGCATGATTGCCCGATCCTTTCCAAGCTTGTCAGCTACGGGCCCAAATCCTTGGCATGTGTGCAATCCGTTGAACTAGCCCCAACGGAACAAGAGGGTGCTAGCTAAACTGTTTGTGCTCAATTGTATGTCACATGCCTAAATTATTAATATAACCAATCAGCCCCACCAGAACATTAGGGTGCCTGGCGTAAGATTAAACACAACAGACTAAAAGTTAATATACAAGTTCAAAGTTTGACATGAGAGAAAGTTTACCATAAGACATATTTCCAAATTAATTTTTTTTTTACCATTTTAGCATGAATTGAGGCACTGCCTGTCGCTCCCAGCCAATTCCTGCCTCACGAACAACGCGCGCCCCGACACGCAACGACAGACCGTGCACTCCCCTCTACCCTGACAATCTGTAAACTATCCAATTTGTAAGTGACTTTCTTATCACGCGCTCTCACCGAACGAACCATAATATTTTCCACTAACTTCAGTTTCCTTGGTTCTTTGTAAACAGAGATCAACGCATGTACCGTTATGTACAGTGCATGTGCAGTGAGCGTGATATAATCTGAAGTAACGTCACACTTCTGAACTGCATAGAGCATGCATAGACCGTATCATAACATACTATTACAGATTTGCGTCGATTTTGTACCGTATGTTACTCCAGAGAATCTGGCTACGGCCTTGATGAAGGAAAACTCGAGAGGATTAGATTCGATTAGAAATGAATATGCATGCAAACGAGAGGTGTTCCAAGAGCCTTTAATTAGTACCGGTACTTTTGCTGATATGTGTTGCTGTTCCGCGTCACCAGGCTCGGGCGGGAACAATCTCTGTAATTTTTGCTGACTAGCTACACTTTGCCCGAAACGCAATGTAAGATATTCTTGCAGTTCCGCGTCACCAGCTTCGGGCGAGAACTATTTCCATATATTGCTGAGTAGCTATACTTTGATTGTGCGCAATGTAATTTTTTGCAGTTCCACGTCACCAGCTTCGGGCGGGAACAACCTGAACTGTGTCAAGTTCAATAAACGGCTGCTCAGGCCTATCGACACAAAAGTTAGAATGCGAGTGTCCACCTGTCCCTGAGTTCAGTTCTCTTGTCCTGTGCATGCGGGGATAATCACGTGAGGCATATGCGGTTATAATCCAATTTTTGAATTAAAGATTTCTGTAACAAGGAGCAATATTAGCGTTGTAATCCTCCACTTCAGTTTTTGTTTTTTTATGCTTGATACTCGGCTTCTTTTTTGCTTCCCACATTTCTAGGTATTTGTGTCTTTCTACATTAGACAGCACTAAATAGCCTTGGCAGAAGTAACCAATAACTTTGCAAAGGACTGGTACCTTTAGCAGAGGTCAAAAGCATAGGACTACAGGTTTATCACTACCAGTGGGCAATAAAAATTGTCCACTGGGGAAAGCTTTCATTTCCGAATGGATGTTTTCTTTCCGAGTCAGAGAGGTCTAACTCGGATTCGTTTAAATGGGAGAAATTCATAATGTTTCGGGCCCAACAGACCCCCACGAGACACGCTCTTTAGTCGCTAGGGTGCCTCACCGACGCGTTCACGGGTGGAGCCGAGTCGGTTTTTGCGCCCGAGTCGAAGCGTAACTGGAAATGCGCCCTTTCGCGGTCGAGGAAGTCCGAGGAAGAAATCTTCACCTGGCGCCCACGTAACGCTCCCCGTCCGGCACCCCGGCGGGACCGACACCGCCTGCTGCGAGATGCTGCCCTCAGGCTGGAAGCCATGGTTCAACCGTGCCAAACAGCTGATTGCACGATGGCATTTGGACCGACTTGGCAACTCCCCGAGAGCCCTCCTGCGTGGTACACTATTAACCGTGGATTTCAAGTCAGTTTGGGGCGGCCGCGTCATACATGCAGCCTAGCAGCCAATCCTCAGCCACCGGGGAAGCGCTCTTTCACTCCGCCGTCAGTTCCAGCATGCCCTCCTCCGGCTGCACCCGCTCCTCCGCGGAGTCTTAGTCCCGCCGGGCCCGCCGCTGGTGCTCCCCGGTCTCCTCCTCCAAGTCCGGTCCGCCCGACGGCCACCGGGCGGCACCGGCCGGCCCTCCGCGCTCGACCTCCTCCCCCCGCTGCTGGACCCGACCACCCCCGCCTCCCCGCCAGCCAAGTGGCTGCGCCCCTTTCCCAGAAACCACTCCCGCGAGGCAACGCTGCCTCCCTATTATCCTAATCCTAACCATAACCAAAAACCTATATATGACTAAAGCTTACCCGAAACCACAATCCCACCCCTAACCCTTACCCTTTCCCTACCTGTAAACCCAACCCTATCCCTAACCCCAACTTTATTATCCTAACCCTAGCCCCAACCCTAACTGGGAAAGCATGGCAGTTGCGCTTGAATATGGGAATGCTCGTTACCGTGAAAACAAAATAGGCACCATTTAGAACACCCTTTGAATATAGTGAAACAAAAGTTGAAAACAAGGTTAACTAAGACAGGAAAGTGCATTTTGAGGGTTTACATGAAAACAATTTAATTGTAGCTGTCATTGAAATAAAAAGTTGGAAATTCAGATTGTCCAAATCTAATATCTTCTTTGACAAGTCATCTTGCATCTTTATCCAAGTTACATTTTATTTGTAAATCACAAGATCACGTCATCATTTATGCCTTTTCACATATTTCAGTCTGTGTACAAGCCAGTGTTAAGTCAAAGTTTTGATTCTCAAGGCTGGTGGTTGAATAAAAAGGTACATTTTAGACAAATTGTACACGAGTTAAAGAAAAAGGAAGAATATACGCCAACTTTGTGTTGTGTGTGTACAATCACAACTGTTTTTGCAGGAGTTCATCGTAACTCCAAAGACGGTGTTTCATCATGCCGTTTTCATGCACAGCACCTAGGGAAATACGGAATGGTCAATACTTGCATTTGATATTTTCTTAAGTTTTGAGAAATGGCAGATAAATTTTAGTGGTGTTCTATTTGAGTTCGAAAAGAGACATATTCTTGAGCAAGTAACTCCCCTGTCCCTTTTTGTAACTCGAATACTGATATAAAATGTAGGGCCAGTGAGGCTCTAGATATAAATGACAACATGAAGTTTTGGTCTTGCCAAAATTCAATGTAACGTGGGTTACGTGGAGATAAAAGCAAAACTGAATGGAGTGCGCCGTGATACAGAGGCTGTATACAGCTTTTGGGACGTGATTAGGGTAAAACCAAAATCTTTACGGATTCGACAACCAGTGGATTCTCTGTCATTTTCTGTTGTTGAAATTCAAACAACTATACGGATTTGCTTTTGTTTGACAAGTTTTGTGCTTGTATTTGGGGGATCAGATCTGATGGTGTGACGCAAGAAGATTTATCCAATACAAGTGGAACATGCACGTCTTTTGTGAGGATTTCTGTTTGAAAATATCAAGTGATTCTGCAGTTGAAAGCAAGCGAAATTGCACCAAATGTTTTTCCATCAATGAAATAAGGAGGCGAGTGTTGCCAGACTGTGCCGCCCCTTGATATGTTTCTCTTGCACCGTCAATAATAAAAATTACAGATACGTCGCTGTTTTTTCGATTGATATCACCAGGCAAAAATGGACCCCAACACGGTTGAAATCGGTTTTATTGTCGAATATTTAAGAAATTAAGATTATGAATAAAAAAGTGACCTGTGTATTCAACCCAGAAAATTGCCTTGAGAGTTTTAAGCTCACGAAATTAAAAAAAAAAAAACAGGTGAGGGAAAAATCTAAAAGTTATGTGGTGTTGACCAAGCATTCAGGCGCACGAACTCCTGAAATTCGCAAGGAATCGCAGTTACCGGTTTCCATATAGGACTCTTCTGGGATCTCGGGGTTCCCGGCCCACCACGCTTCCTCCTGGCCTATCCATTTAACTCTAAAAAGAGTGAGCGACCG